CCCCCGCGAAGGGACTGAGGGTGCCAGACGTCTCTGTCCCGGCCCCGGCGCTCCCCTCGGCTACCGCCTGCACCCCGCAAGAGGCCCTTTCTCGACTCTCCGTGCAGCAATACGGCAACGCTGCCGTTACCGCCGAGGCCACCTCAGAGCCGCCGCGGTGCTTGGTGAGCGCTGACAGCCACCCGCCGGCCCAGGCTCGGTGCAGGCAGCGTGACAGGCCTCCCTGACTCTAAGGTCGTCTCTCTCAACGTCTAGTATGATCTCATTCCCGGTAACGTCCACTATATTTAGTAATTCACCCCGCGGTTGTGCAGTAACGATGTAAACGCGTTAGGAAGTTGCCCAATACAGGGTTTGGTCACCCTTCCGCTGAAGCTGGTCCTTGCTGATGCCAGAGAGCGAAAAGGTGACGGAGTACTGCAGCTCCTCTGACAGGGTGTAGCTGCTGGTAAAACAGATCCCAACTCGTTTGAGGTTCATGTAAAGTCCTAATTCTGGCAAAAGGAGTTTTGAGGGAATAGACTCTGACAGAAGATCAAGTTCAGAAGGTACCATGACTTACATAAAGACCTGTTTTACAGTATAGATGCTGGTTTATATCATTGTCATGGTTTAACCCCAGCAGGCAACTAAGCCCCACACAGCCACTCGCTCACTATCCCACCCCAGTGGGATGGGGGAGAGAATGAGAAGAGTAAAAGTGAGAAAACTCGTGGGTTGAGATAAAGACGGTTTAATAGGTAAAGCAAAAGCCACGCATGCAAGCAAAGCAGAACAAGGAATTCATTCCCCACTTCCCATGGGCAGGCAGGTGTTCAGCCAGCTCCAGGAAAGCCGGGCTCCATCACACCTAACGGTTACTTGGGAAGACAAACGCCATCACCCCGAACATCCCCCCCTTCCTTCTTATTCCCCCAGCTGGGATATCCCTTGGGTCAGTTGGGGTCAGCTGTCCCGGCTGTGTCCCCTCCAACTCCTTGTGTCCCCCCAGCCTCCTCGCTGGTGGGGAGGGGGGAGAAGCAGAAAAGGCCTTGGCTCTGTGTGAGCCCTGCTCAGCAATAGCTAAAACATCCCTGTGTTATCAACACTGTTTTCAGCACAAATCCAAAACATAGCCCCATACTAACTACCATGAAGAGAATTAACTCTACCCCAGCCAAAACCAGCACAATCACGCACACTTTTATAGGGAGTAGAAGTAATTTTTCCTTGCATTAACGCAGTGTCCACCATGAGCATGTGAAAATCCTAAGTGCATTGTCCCTTTCCATTCTCTTTCAGTTAAAAGCTAAATGTGGCCCAGTACCCAGATGGATGCCTCACCTCCCCTGATCCTCTTGATGTCCAGACATGAGCCATCTTTTCCCTGGGAGCTGTACAGCCCCACTCACACGTTTTGGTGTCTCAGGAAGCCTTCCTAAGTTGACAGGTTAACTCTGGACTGCTCCTGAATTGTATCTAGCCAGTTTGCAGCATTACCAGAGAAGCTGTCTCACAGTACAGACTGCCCTAAGCACACCATCTTGTAGTTTTGTTTAATCAAAAATGCATGGTGGCATACCTGAGATACCACAGCCAATTAAGAACATTTTAGAAAAGTCATTGTTTAATGCAAAGTGAATGTTTTATTTAAGCTTTGGATCTAATGAGAGTAGCACAGCATCAGTTTCTATTGTCTTTATGCATCAGCCACCATAGAAGAGATGATAAAGTACTACTGAACACATCCTTAAATGTTCAGAATCTTTTTGGAGGGAAGTAGAAGACCAAGCACTGAGACTGAGTTATTTTCACTGTTAGTAACTAGTGGTCTGGATTGTCTGGCAAAGCAATATTGGCCATGGCAGTAACTTATCTTTCTGTCAAGTAAGCAGATGCAGAGGTAGCCTTTGGGCAAGTACTTTAATAAGACGTCTAAATCCCATTTAGATATTTGAATCTCTATGAAGATGCCTGATTTACTTACGTAACCATGGATATAGACTCCACTGTATATGAGTGTCCTAATCCACTTCAGTGAGAATAAGGGTCATGCCCTTCTGTACAAAAAGCGTGAACACAATTATGACAGAGCTGACTGGTAAAAGCCATCCAGTAATAGCACAGCCTTAAGAGAAGACCAGCAATCTCTTTGGGCATAATTTGAAAACTTTTTGCCTTTGAGAAACTTTTCACAGTGATTTTGTAACTCATATTTAGTAAATTGCACGGAGAACAAAGTGGGTTCATTCACATCAGTTTCTTATCTTTGCAAATGGGCTGCCTGATCTGCACAGGCTTAGAGCATGGGAAATTTCCAGTCTGCTGTGGACAAAGTACAGGACTGTTAATCCTTCAGAATTGCTTAAAAGCTTCTCTTACTTTGCCACCTTCACCTGTCCCCAGTTAATGCTCAAGGCCTATAGCAGGAGCAAGACCCTAGTGATCTCTGATCCTCAGAGTTGGGGAGCGGAAAGAACCCACTTCATACTTTACCAGGAGCTTGTGAAGCATACTGACAGACTCAGTTAAAGCAATCAAGTAACATGGTCCTCAGCTGTGCTAGGGATGAAAAATTGAGTTTCCTCTCACTTATTTACTATTGCTCCTTAGCTGTGCACAAGTAGTGTACGACTGTGAACATACAACATGCTAGTATAGGAGATAGTTTTCTCTTCCTAGAAAAAAAGAATTATAAGTTTATCAATAAGATTTTTTCCCCAATATTCATAACTTATATAAACAGTTTTAACAATTTTCTGAATTTTATGCCATCATTTAAAGCATAGCCTCTTGCTTTGATGTTTTCATGTCACAGCACTCAACATTTTAAACCATTACATATGCTTATTGACTTCACTGGGAATTATCTGCAGAAGAATTCTGGGGTCAGTTGTAATCATTGTCACAGTCATCTGGATCTCTGCTGGAGCTACTCTGACCACTAGCATAGTTTCCAGCAATGTTGACCTTAAGCGTTACTAATTATAGAGATTCCTTGGTTTCTCTTCAGGGACTATACCATTGTCAGAGAAATTCACGATCAGATTAAGATTTGCCTGTATTTTATTTTGTTAGAGACAATTTGTTTGCATTGTTGCAAGTTTACATCACACTCTCCTTGTCTTTCAACAGCTTTCAAGATAGATGATGTGGCTATTTTAAATGTACCTCTTTTTGGAGTTTCCTTCTGTCAGTTACACCCTGTGTCCTCTAAGTATATTCTTTGTATATCCATTAACTTTAAATTTTGAATGGTTACTGTCAATATTTGTTCCTTCATTTAGGGGCATATGTTGCTTCTGAAATGGTAACTAGTAAAATAAAACATGTGCTTCCTCCATTCCCACTTGGAAAGACAACAAATATGCAAGAGATACATATTACACCTATAATACCTGTTCAATTTTCTGTTGTTTTATAGCACTCCTTGCTGCAAAATGTGTTCAATAATCATCTTTGCACCCTAGAAAGTGTATCAGGGAAACAGACTGGTCCCCACAGAACATTTTCTTATGTGTGTTTTAACTGTTCCTTAGAAATAGCTGTTTTGCAAGTCTATAGAGGGATTGTTAAAGAGGACAAAATGCCACTATCTCTATTCAAGATGGTATAAGTAACAACTTTCACCTTTACTTACAGGTCCACTGAAGAGCACATATCACAGAGAAATGGGGACCAAGCTGAATCTCTCCAGCAGCTTGGGCAGGTAAGTTTTATCTTTTCTTATTTCTACTGAAAGAAGGGCATGAGAAATTAGTAATCCGGCTCTGTGCATGAAGAGGAATGAAGTATATAAAGAGTCTGTCCAGGTCAAAGTTTAATTTTTAGAAGTTTTATAAAACCCTCAGGGTAACACTAAAGCAAGACTTGCTTCCTCTACCAGGGTGTGCTGTACATGCCCT